TCTACCAGGAAGTCAACAGCCATTATTCCGGATTCCATTGACTTTTCGGTAAAGTATACTTCAATTCGAAACTGGAGTGTCAAAAGGAAACCAATTTTTCGAAAAAAGCACTGAGACTTCAAACACATTATTCAACTGCCATTTAAGAATATGATTATTAACATTACACGATACGTTTATGGAAAAATTTGCTATAAGTAGTGGACACATCAACAGAATTCGTCGGTTTTGAAACTAGGTCATGAGAACGACTCCAATAACTACTGTATTTTGTGAGAGTTCTCACAAAACCTTTAACAAAAGAATATACTGGCCAGAGGTCAACCCCAGAAAAGTCAGATGATGAAAGCGCAATCTATAAAGACATGTCTATGGCTAAATTTAACAAACGAAATCTACAGTCCCAGTTAAAAAAACCTATTGTTCTACATGACACCAGTTTTGAACATCAAAAGCCTTAACACGTAGTTTGAAGCGTGATCTCAATAGTCCAGGAATAATATTCTGTAGGTTTAAATCACTAGCCTGGAGAGTGCGTGTTATTAGGGCACAAAGGAAAGATTAGCTGTGAGGATAGGAGAATTATTAAAAGGTGAAGGAGAGATAGGATCGTGGACAAATTGACCCTGGGTGCCCCCAGATGTATGAAGGCGGTCACCACTTCCCGGCTGCTCATATTGTGTAAGGATATATTTCCTGGGGGGCCTGAAGAGGAGGCTGAGTTAGAGGTGGTCTTAGCGACCTGGGAGCGTGTCTGCAGAGCCCAAGGAACAACTAATTGAGGTCGGTCGCTCATGGTCGTTTATGGAAAGATTTTGACGGATTAACTCCGCACTTCAAACGACCTTACCACCGTAGACGGAAATCCTTAGGGGTAAAGTGAGGTATGAAACCCTTTCTGTCCTCCTCCTTTCGTTATTAGGAGGTAGCATCCCTACAGATGCTGCTTGTCTGAGTTAAGCACCTTGCCGCCATCACAACCGTCTACAGTAAACAGTACGAATGAGCTCTTTAACTCTAAATTACTGTCTTTGGTATCAAAGTTCCACAAACGACATAGAGAAACATGTGTTGCAACCAGTACTTCTCTCCTGAGTCTTAAAGATGAGCAAATCAGACCAACACGTCAAGGTAATAGTTATGACCGAGCTGAAAAGGTCGAGGACTAACGATCGAGTACCAGAGAATCAAAAGAAAAATTCCCAAAAGTGTAATCAAATATTCATCTGGAAAGTTACAGTTAACCGTTCCGACAGGCTCATCAAAGTCCATCAATGAACAACTGCCTACTTCATTAATTTCGTTCCTGTCAGACAAGATTTATTGTCGATAGCCGTATGACACCCAACAACAAATTGAAGTAATAGAGGTTAATCCTAACCAAAGTCAAGCGATAAAGATTTGGCCCAAGAAGACTGATAAGCATAGAACCATGTTTGAGGTGATGTTGATGGAACTAAAAGTACAGGTCAGAAAGATTAAAGGAAAGACTATACTGTTCAATGAAGTATTTTCAGGAGATACTTCGAGAGTTCTTTCTGTAACGCAAACTATTATCTATCGAATTATTCTCACCTTGAAACGTTGCATGGACGGTATCCTCATATGCCTAGAACTGGCCACAATCAGGGAATTGCATCGGCAGTGAGTTGGTACCGACGATTTATGTGGAACACCAAGTCGCTTGTGAGATTACTGACAGATATAATCATAATTTTTCTTTATCCTTGCACTACACATGACTCTGCCGATCTTAGTAACATTAGAGCTCACGTGCGGTATCTGAACGAAGTAATGATTATTTTGCACTTGAATGCTTGCTGATGACGGATTCCAATTACAATGCGTCTGACTGAAAATGCACTGTTTCAGGAATTCCTAATTAGCACATTAATTCGAATGCTAATTTTCATTTCGCAACAGATGCGTTACGTTCTTACCCTTCTGTCTCAATCCTGTCTTTACAAAACACGGGGTATAGCAGAAATCTCCCTCATTCTGGTCCAGACAACCCTCCCCATCCACAGTCGATGACTTTTGTTTATTAAACAAACTTAATATATGTAAGTTCATGGGACACGATGGCCCGCTAGATTTATCGAAAATTCATTAGGTATACACTGTAATGTGTCAGTAATACAAAATAGACTACCAAACAAATTGAAGAATGTCATATTATGTCTCGTATTCAAAATACGTGCGAGACATAATCAAATGAACTATCGGCCCGCAAGTTCAACCAAAGTGATTGCTAAGGAGCGATGAGAGATGATTCACAAGTTGTCTGAGTATTTCGACGAGGATCTGGTTCTTTCCGAAAATGCAGCATAGTCCTAAGACAGGTCATTCATGTCTCACTGCTTTATTGATAGGTCGTGAAAGTCGGTGTGCCAATAAAAACCAGAAGCTATCTCGGGATCTAGCCTTCATCGATTTCAGTTAGGCTATTGGTGAGATTACGTGACACAGACATTGGGAGCGACCTACTTTCTAGGTGAACATTGTTTTAGTTAGACATCAATAAAGAGTGCGGGTCAACTCCAAGTGATCTAGCTGGAGAACTGTGCTCATTGCAGTGTTGTGGGGTACAACTTTCGAACTAGTGCTTTTCTTCTGCACGCAAATGACTTTCCAAGTCACCTGCGACCATTGTTTTTGTTATCTGCATATGAGATAAAGATGTGGAGAGTGTTAAGAAATGATGAGCACAGTGTTGAGCCTCAAAATGACCTGCGGAAGTAATTTGAGTGGTCTAGAATCTGGCAGCTTCTGACAAATGATTCCAGGTGCATTATGTTGCATATAGGTCACAGAAGAACAGATACACACACAGTGAGTGATGTCGAGCTATATGCTGTCCAGAAACAGGATGACCTAGTAGTCATGTTTAGCCAAGACTTGAAGAGCAGTGAACAATGCTGTGAGATATCTGTTGAAGGTTTTCAAACCTCACGTCCAATATTCAAAGCCCTTGGACACGTCGATACTACAGAACGAATCATTTGTCAGTTGACTAACGACTTTCGCATCGAATCATCAACAAATGAAATTCGTTACCTAAACTAGTCTTTTCCTACTGAACATTAAAAGATGGTTAGTACTAAAACTCATAGATCACATTTCAAGTCCAATCGCTTGAACAGCCACAATGTCTCTTTGTATTGTACAAAACATTGAATAAATTCTTTTAGGATCACTTATAATCGTGTGTGTGATTGTCCATGGACGTTTTGTGATCCATTAAGGAGAAGATTGTTAGCCGGAGGCAAGGAAACTTGATTTTTCGGCTATCCTTTTCGAATTAGCTGGTAGAACATTTGGGAGCATGTAGTGGAGACAAGGTTCTAACTTACGTAACACTTATGAAGACAAGAGTAGTTGCTGGTACGCGTAAATCATGATATTTTGAAGTTTAGGTCGTGCGATATTTATAAACTCACACTAGTCGCAGATGTTAGGAAGGGTTAAACTACACTGAACGCCGCTTAGCGTGATGTTTTCACACTCGCTATGCTGAGGCAAATTACCGGAAAATTGGAAGTTGGCTCACATCACACCAATTTTCAAAGGTGGTCGACGCAAAGAAACTTCAAGTTTTCAGCCGGTGGCTCTTCTGTCATTACCTTCAAAACTCATGGAGTCCCTGATAAGCGACGGTTTAAACGACTATCTACTGTCCTTAAATTTCTTCTCACCCCAACAGCATGGTTTCAGTAAGGTTTACTCTTGTATAACCAACCTGCTGACTGCGGTGGACAGATGGACAAGCATCCTCGATCGCAAGGGAAAGGTTGATATCATTTACTTTGACTTCTCAAAATCTTTTGATGGGGTTAACCACTTGTGTCTTATCAATAAGCTCAAACGACTAGGTATCGAATTACCTCTAATCAATTGGCTTACTTCAGATGTAAAAATTCGACACTTTAAGGTTAGGGTTAATTTCACTTTCTCTCGGGCTAGTGGGGTCCCCCAGGGCTCAGTACTAGGACCTCTTCTCTTCTTGATCTACATAAATGATCTTCCTCAACAGGTAACGTCAGACTTATTACTTTTTCCGACGACGTGAAACTTTGGAGAGAGATATGCAACCAAGACGATATACAGGCACTTCAGGAGGATCCGGCTCGACTACATAGTTGGGCAGACGATAACGGAATTACCTTTAACACTTCAAAGTGTAAAGTAGTCCATCTGCGACATGTCGCAGAATACAGTTATAACTTGGGTAACTCCTCTCTAGTAGTATCTCAAGTCGTAAAAGATTTAGGAGTCCTGGTGCCCCATGATTTAAAGTCTTACGCTAACTGTGACAAAAATGCCTAACGAGCAAACCTTGCACTGGTAACGTTGAAGCGCATTTTTGAACAGTTTGACGGACGAGCTTTCCATACAATCTTAAATAGTTTCATCCGTCCTCATTTAGAGTACGGAAACATAGTACTCCACCCTCACTCCAAAAGGACAAGGTCACTTCGGAGCGTATCCAACGGCGAGCCACGAAATCAGTTCGAGGACTCAAATCTCAACCTTATGAAGAGCGCCTCCACTCACTTAAACTTTACCCATTAGGGTATAGAGGTCTTAGAGGTGATTTATTAATGGCTTGTAGTATTCTTAACAGTTCTGGACATCCTCTCAAACACCCACTTAAGCTTAGTTCGAATAATAACCTAAAGGGTAACACCCAGAAACTGGAAACACAACATAGCAAGACGGAATGCAGAAACACAACTTCTCCTCCTTAAGAGTTGTCAAAAGCTGGAATTCGCTGCCGGCCGAGCTAGTCCAAGTGACTTCTCAGGAGTCCTTCAAGAGGCAACTTGATCTATTCTTAAGGACCAAAGACAGCATCACACTATGATTTATCAACTTCTTTTCCTCTTTTATTGTTAACGTACCTAGGTTCCTGCCTGGAGGATTTGGTGATCCCCTGCTACTAGACACGGAAGCCTGTTAAGCGAAAGCTTCTTCTATTCCGTCCACAACCATTTAAACCATTTGGATTTCCTGGACGACCTTGACGACTGTTCAAAAATAGCTGGTCAGAATGTAGCTTACGCATAAGAGCTCTTGACTCCTCGGAAATTGCTTTGCTTCTCTCTTTATTTGTTTCAACCAGTGCTAGCAAGGCGCATGGCTTTACACTCTTTAAAACCTAATTTTCAACCCTCAATCTTTAAGATCTTATCTTATTGTCCCGAAACTCCTACACCATTGATCCCAACTCTTAAACGCTTATACAATAGCACCTAGCCCTATAGGACTATAGAAAGCCTTATGCCTAGATCCTAATTTTATCAGTAAGTTCGCTACAATTACACCAAATTTTGCACTTCATTCCACAAGCGTGCTACCATCCTATACTTTCGAAATACGAAATAAATTAAAAGACATGGGTTACAATTACAAGGCTTAAGCTTTAATATACTTTCGTGCAGTTAATTAACGTACCAACAAGAATCATTTTAGCTGGTCTAGCTCTTAGGATTTTTAAGGGACCAAACATAAAATGCGTACAAGAGGTGTGTTAAGGCTGGAACGAATTTGATAGGAATCGTGAGCATTTTACATGTTTCGGTTTGAGTTCACCCTCGCATTTCGGTCAATGTTTTATCCGGAATTACTTCAGCGATGTATCCCACCTGTTTCCTATAATCGATATTGTTATTCAGTTCGCAATGCCATATTCCAAATTAAGCCTTGTTTAAATGTTGAGTATCTTTATTTGCGACTCACTTTACACTCGTTATTGACATTATCTATGCTAGTGACGTTAGATAAGCCGAAAACATAGAACGGTGTTTTGGTTGGCTGACTAATATAAAGAGCCTTCTGATATTTTCTATTCTCTTGGATAAACTGTGCATGTATACCGCCTTGGTGAGCTATTTTGTTTCCTTTTAGACGGCCTCTAGGTATATAATTGGAAGTGATTCCGACAAATATTGGTGATTAACACCTACTGAGTGAAGTTTCCTATTTTGTCTCAAAGAGTTGTTAAATACGTTTGCATTTGTCTGACTAGTGATTGTCGCTATATATAAACATGGTCATAAGGTGAACGAGAATCATTTGTAATATATTACTTCATGTTAATAATTTTTTTCAGTGTATATCACCAACTACTAAGAGAACTATATGAAACCAACCGTTCGGGAATTCCTAAGAGTTGCATTGATTAGTAGGATTTAATATTTTTGATAACTATGTAGGTTACTGACAAGTTTGTGTAGTAGGCTTTGAGCTATGCTGCGTTTTATATGAACCAGTAATTCAACCTCGCTTCCCGACCGAATCAAGTAAAGTGCATTGTAGCAGTTTAAACTATCGGCTACTAGTTTAGACTCTCAGATTGTATTAATCTGAGGCTTGTGTTCTCACTGATTATTGTTCGTTAGAGTTCTTATTGAAAGTAAGTGCATTGTGTGTGCTTGCTGGGTCGTCAACTCACATTTCGTTCCTGTTTCTCTACTTTGCAGACGACTCCACTCACACTACTCTGCCTGGTCACCTAGTACACAACGCACACACAACATGGTCGCAGCCTTGCCTCAGATCTACATTATCTGTCGGAAAACATTGAAATAGTCTACAAACTCAGAAAATTCGACTTTATTTTTTGAAGTTTAGGAGCGTAGGTTGTCTGCTGGTCATTTGCAGATTGGTGAAACACGAAACATTGCAACACTAAAATCATATGGAGACTTTTGTATTTTGAGCATATACATGCATATTTTTACCGAGCTCTGCATTGATTGGTCTATTGAGGCTCATTTGTCTGTAATATGCACTTCCGACACTTTATTAGGAGCACATGTCAAATTTCTATTGTTTGCTTGGTTCCTGATGTTTAGTTGAACCAGGAATTCTTTATCCTAAACCTTTCAAAAGGTGATTGAGGCTTATCAGTAGGTTTCAATGGCAGTTTCCCGAGAGGGGACAACATGGATTCCTGTTGTTCATCAGGCCTAAATATCAGCTAGAAATTTTCAGAGGCTCCAACGTAATACACATAATGTGAAGACTGTTAGAAACAGGCAGATATACAACTCAGTAATTTATGTTTTTGTTTAGTCGAGTTGATTGATCTGATGTTTCAGATTATATATGTCCATTTAGTTATTTATTAACTTATATCAACTACTGCCTAGTTCAACATATTTGAACCAGCCCATCAATGTGATAAGAAAATCGCATATTTTTGAGTATGATTTTGGATTACTTTTCGAATCATGTGTTTAAGGTCTAGTGGATCGATTGTTGGTGGATATATAAATGTTCATCTACAGTTTTGCCTTCTTTAAATAGAGCTGTCAGTTAGTCGGTATTGTGAGACGCGAAACCTGGTACGTCAGTGCATCAGTTCGAGTCGCCATACTGCATTGACACAGTGATCGCATAGATTCCAACCAAGTATCCTAAACCCTTCAACATAACTCAGTCCGGTTGTCAATGACGTCATAGAAGTGTGCTACTTCTTGTGGTGGGCCTTAGATTTCTCTCAGTCTACTCTTGCGTCAGATAAAATCACACGCCGAGGTAGGTGGTGGCTAGGTTTACGTAAAGATTGTTGCAATCACCTCAATCTGTGGAATTTCACTACCTCATCGACGGGTTTACCATCTTGCCTGGTATCCTACACATAACCCCACGATTTTTCAGTCAGTTATCCCAAAATACATCATAGGTGCTTCGAAGACATCTGTGGTCAATTACTAGTAACCTAGAAATATCTTCTGTTCTTGGTGACCACGTCTCATACCAATTAAGCAGCACAAAGAAGTGCTGTGGGTTAAGCTGGTTCTTTAACTGGCAGATAAATATCTCGTCTAGGTGACACGGGACTTGAATTGACGAGGACCAATCTAGGAGTTTGAATCATTTAACATAGACACGACAATCGAGCAATCAGTCCAAGTATTCTCGAAACCCGTCTGTTTGCTGTACAAACTATGTTTACGTTACATGTTTGAAAGTGAATATAGATAATTGAATTTCAGTTTCAGTTTTAGGAACAAATCTGAGGATGGATCAGTTGTTCTCCTATGTTTCCGTATGCTTCCTTTGTCCGTATATGTGGATTGTTGTTGCTGTTAGTACATTGTATATCATTAAGAGAAAATACTTCGGTCATTGTGAGTGTACTCTTGAAGATCGTTTGGATGGTAAAACAGTTATTGTTACGGGATGCAATACTGGTATTGGATTAGAAACGGTGGATGAGTTGGCTCGCCGTGGGGCCCGCGTTATAATGGCATGCAGAGATCTAAGGAAGTGCGAATTGGCTCGACAGGAGCTTCTGACTAGAACTTGTAATGAGAAGCCATCAGTATTGAGTGTTCATCTGGAACCAGATCAAGTATGTTAATGGTAATTGTTTTATTAACGTGATGTGTTTTTTCTCGTGGTTATCATGCCCAGATGTAATTAGATGGAGCAGGATCCAAACCTGTTATGTATTGTCTGGGATTCGAGTGCTTAAACCACTATTTCACCGCTCCACTACCATCTTCACTGACTCCCTAGGTTTTATTTAGTTGATGTTATTTGTTGTTTAAAGTTGTTTGTTGAAAGATTGTTATTGAGCCATGAGTAAGCTTTGTAATTATTATCTCGTTTTCAATAGCTTATTTGTGAAGAGTTGGATCTGGAGTCGCCAAAATCTATTCGAGAGTTTGCGAATCTTATCATTAGTAGAGAAAAATCAATTTCCATCTTAATTAATAATGCTGGGGCAGATTTTCCAGAGAAGATTTACGATGAGCTTGGAATTGAGAAACACTTGAAAGTGAATCATTTGGGTCATTTTCTGCTTACTAAATTATTAAAGCCGTGTTTGCATGCATCTGATGGGAAACCTTGTCGTGTTATCATTCTGTCATCTTTGTCACATTGGTTTGCTAAATTACACCCGAATAGCGGATTCTTGTCAGGTGTAGGCTCTGGTTATGCTATTAGTAAGCTGTTAAATGTGATTCATGCACGTGAGATTTGTAAACGTTGGTCTGCAGATGGAATTATTTCAGTCAGCGTCCATCCAGGCTTGGTGAGAACATCCATTTTTCGTTCATGCAAAGGGAAATATGTGAGTTGATGTTTGTATTATGTGTTATATCCAGTGTTTTTCCTTTGATTATAAAGCGAACTCCTTGTTTATGCATACCGTGTGTGGTTAAGTGGTGTCTGTTTATTAAATAAGTATTCCATATTTACGGCAACAATCTCAAACAAACTCTCTTTTGAGGTTTAGTTAACTGATCTCCACTGTGAACTAAACTGTGATGTTGCGAAATCTGACGAAGATTACTACCAAACCGTTGATGATGACGTTGGTTTCAACTCTGTCTATACAGTTAGCACAGCAATAGTAAATAAATGTGGTTACCCAAGAATGGAAAGATGACGAAGTGATAACCATTAGACAAGGATTAAGTAATGAGTTTGTTAGTGATATTTACACAAATTGAAGACTTGAATCGGAATTCGTTCGACGAATGTTTTACAAACAACGTTGAACAGAAAGGGGATTCCTACTTCGTCATGGTTGTGAGTGTTTTCAGGAATGCTCAAAATTTGTGGAATAGACACTTTGATTAAGGTCAAGCGACTAGTCTCTTTGTAAATCCAAAATGCTCGCGCAATTACAACCTAAGAAACCAGTTCCACCGAATTCCCCGTTCCTTTTATGTATTGCTAGACAACAGTAATATTCCTAAATGATACGGAAAACCGTATAGTTTCACATGAAGACTGTTATTTCTTATGTTTGAAACAAAACCTTCTAGGTCTCATCAACATTATCGACTATCGTGCATCACAATTCCTAAAACAAATGTCGTGGTGGTACGATGATACCTTAACTATGCGAATCGCACTTAATCAGTTGATGATCAATGTTCTTAGGTATGGAATGTGTGTGGGCCTTCAAGATACAAAGTACTTTTGAAGGACTAGCAAAAACCTGTTCCCACACTCGCTGTTTGTAGTGAACCTTTAGGGGTGTTTGGGCGTTGGTGGTAATGTGGTTTATGAGATAAATCTACAAATATTAGAACTCAAAGTGGTTTATGTCAATCTGGGCCGTCTTTGTGTTAATACGTTATCATATATGAGCCATAACAGGGATCGGCGGTGATCTTGCTGTAATTTCCTTTTATACTTCAAAATGTGAAAGGAACTTCGTCACCTAAAGGAATTCGTTCTAATTGTGATCTGTTAAATTGATCCGTCTCTCCTATCATAATTTATTCTCCTTTACTGCCATTTACCCAATTAGTCACACTTCCTCTCCTTCTTTTACTTCACAATCTTATTGTCTTATCTGTGTAACGCACATCTACTTTGGTGGTCATTTGTAACAATATTTATATGTTTGAATAAATAGTAATATAAATGGAGCTGTTGAGAGGTAAATAAGTGGTCAATTTGTTTCTGCGTACTCGTGTGCATGCATTTACCTGTTTATCGTAGAATGTAGGACAGTATTTCGGAACTGTTACAGTGAAGCTGTTTACGTCTATTTTACCGATTAATATGTGAGGAAATGCATGTGTTTGAGAGAATTTATAACGTATTGATGCGCATTTGTAAACTAATTAGCTTTTACTGTTCGGCTAAGATTTTTTTCAATTTTAGTTTCTAGTCTACTATTTATTTCGATGGTTGACAAAAACATCCCGTGAAGGTGCTCAGACAACAGTATTTTGTGCTCTTGATAACAATCTCATTCCTGGTGCATTTTATTCTGAGTGTCGGCCACGCAGATGTAACTCCCAAGCATTAAATGATGAAATTTGCGATCATGTGTGGAAAACTTCGGAAGCACTTATCGACGAATGGGTATCATTTAGTGAGAAGTAGAATTTGAAAATATTTTTTATTACTACATGCTGTGTTAAATTAATGACATGTAAATACCACTGAGCTCATAAATTGTCATAGTCTTACTTATGCGAAACAGTGAAAAATTTTCTGGAGTCCTTTTATTCATTTTGCTTAAATGACTAATATTTCACAGTAATTTATATAAGTCACTTTTTATTGTACACTATTTTCTTCTCATAAGCTATGAACTACTGTCGATGAAGTCTCTTCCGTTGTGGTGGAAAGTTGTTTTGATAGATAGACCTAGACAACAGCAGGGAATGACTGTGAAAATAGTTCTTCTCTAGCTTTTGCGAAAACATCTACTAGTGCACGGTTTACATTTGTAAATAAGTGTGAGGATTTCTATCATTTAACGGCAAATGGTATTATTTATCAAAGATCGAGCAGGGATTATATACTAGATGTGCATTTTAGATTATTCATAAATACCATGGTCCAACTCGACTTAATTGTTAGCCTTCTCCAAATGCTTAGACGATACTATTGAGGAAAGTGATTTTCTCATTTTCCGCTCCTCACTACAACGTCAATGAGATATTTTGTTACAGGTTTTATGGAACAAAATGAAGAAAGAATCGAAATATTTATCATGTTGAAGGTTGCATTGTCCAATCAGTGGATACGAAACAGTTTTTGATATGAAATCGGTCTGTCACTCTTGAGATCAGTTTTATTTGAATGGGAAATACTATTCGAAGGCTGTGATAATGCTTGATCCGCGCCTAATCAGTTCAGTGTAGCCCTTCTGAATCTTGTGTGAAGCTCAGTGTAGATGTAAGATAGGAATTAACTTGTCGTTTCGAATCCCACCTGCTTACCTGGACAATTTTAATCGTAGGGCGCATTGAATTCTTGACTAACATCAGAATTTAAAGTGATGATAAGAGTGTAATACAATGTGTTTTAACTTACACATTTGCTTTATACATGCAAGTGTTTGCGGTAAACAGAGCTCACATTTATTACTATTTCCTATCTGCTTATAATACTAAGTTTCACTGATACGAGCCAAAATGCCGTTTAGTGATTGCAAATTTTGATGACCTAAATAAATTCGAATCTCCACAAAGGGATAAACCACACTGATTGTTCCTATGTTCAAGAGATGTTTATTGATTGTGGTATGTAAAGTGGTTCTTTCTGTTGTTTGAAGGCTTTTCGTGACGTGTTCATAAAATCTAATGTATACCTTCTGCTTTCGCCCAATGTAGCTGCTTCGACAGGTTCTTTTAAATGTATAGACACAATTGATGGTATCGTGGAAGGGTTACTTGTCGACCTTAGATCGGGTTATTAAGCATGGTTTATACAGGATTACTAGTTTGGTTTCAGGGTAGGTGCTTGCTAACTCAGTGATAAGCTTCGTGTTGAATGTGCTTGCGACGTTTCATCTTTGAAGCTCGGATTCATAAATATTGGTTTTCTATTGACTGTGATCACATCTGTCTTGTTGTTTTCGGGTTTTCTTTTATAATTTTGATGAATTTCCGTGAGCAGCAGTTGTCTCACAGGTATTTCTCAACGTTCCTCAATTCTTCCTCCAGTTTCTTGGTGGTACGTATCTTTTCTACTCTATAAAATAGTGCTTTGACTAACGCTTTCCTACAACTGATTGGACAGAATCTATTAAAATTCAAGTAAAGACGATTGCAAGTGCTTTTTCGATAAACCGAACATTGAACACTAATCCATATATTTATTTGTTGCTTGAGTTTGCTTCGAATTCTATATGTTCTTCAGTTGTAAGAATGCTGCCCTTGATTCGCCAATCCTTGCCTTTACATGCTGATCAGACCATCCTGATTTATCGATGTGGGAGTTGAGGTTTCCATACGTATAACACAATAAAAGCTCAAGAATAGTGGTGTTGTGTTTTAAATTATTGTCACTCTCAATCTCAACCACAGATTATGTGGCTCATAGTGTAGATTATATCTAACGAGTTTGTACAATTTTACTGTTCTTCAGTTAGTGGTAATTGCTTGAAGAACATTACGGCACATTACCTCTACTTGCATTCACAGTGTCTTAAATTTTCCTCCGTTGGTTCAGTCATGTCTACTAGGGTACGTTTTAAAAAGATTTGGTAATTTCTGTTGCATAGACGACACTCAATACTATTATTTTTATAGAAGTCTTTGTATTCATCCAGATTTTCGAAAGGTGGTAGTTTTTTCCTTTAGGAAGACTACGGAATTTCTGTGATTCCATATAAATAAATGAGGATTAAAATAACTTCATTTTCCATAATCCATTTGTTGTAATAATGTGGTGTATTTTTTTAACTGAATTGGATAAAGTACATCGATCGACATGTTTGATCTAGTTAGTGAGAATACTTTTGTAGAGAACTTTGATGGTTTTAGTATTTGAATCTGTAAAGCTAATGTGGTAAAAAAAGTTAGTGTTTGCAAGGAACAGGCATTTATCTGAGCATAGCTGTAACAGACGGTCGCCATTATCTGTTCTTTGAGCCACAACACCATACGATCCACCCAATTGTCTTTCCCTTTCGCTTAGTTTACCTACTTGAACATTAAAGTCACCAGCCACTATTACTACATCAGAGCGTTTAGCTTTTCGGAAAAGGTCGGAAAGCTTTCTGTAAAACTCATCTTTTACATAATCTGAGCTGCAGTCAGTAAGAGAGTAGGCAGAGACAACGAATGTCTGTATCTTTTCGAGTCCTTACTGCTCCGTTTAGTCGAACAGCACACAAACGACTATCTACTGGGATCCAGTCTAAGAGAGCTAATTCTGCTCTAGGATTCGATGCCATACCTACGCCAACGAGGCTGTGGGAAGCAGCATCATGGCTTTCATATACACGTAGTGTAAGTTGAGTTGTTTTGTTACTTTGACATGGTGAGATGAAATGAATGACGCTACTCGGGTCCTGTATGCGCATTTCGGAGACGCAACACACATCGATGGCGCGAGATTCTAAAGTCGTAGCTAAAGAAGCCTGTTGTCCTATTTGGCACAGTGTCCGGACGTTGGAAGCTCCTAAGTGTAGTTTAGAGCGTGGTTTTAGGAGACCAGGAATAACGTTCCACGTACTCGAATGGTTTGCCCTAACGGTACGAGGTGATAAGTTGATGTGAGAAGGGTTAGTCGCGGAGATAAGAGATTTATTTGGAGATGTAGGAGGGATTTGAATGTGACCAACTTGGCCTCATGTGCTGTTATGGCTATGAGGGCTTATATCACTTCCCGGCTGCCCACACTGTGGAAGGGTATTTATTGAGAAATCTGAAAAGGAAATTGGGTTAGTGTTGATCTTGACCTGGGGGCGTGACCACAGAGCCCAAGTCGGTCGGTCGCACACGGCCTTTTAGTATGAGACTTAATGAAGATATGAAAACATACTGTCATTGTGAGCCTAATGTGTTCACGATTCTCTGTAGTTATTCTCCACTAATCTGAATAGTATTGTTAGTTCAATTATAAGTTTTTTAATGCGAAACTGCGTATTGTGAAAGCCTATCGGTTTATTTTTTTCCTGGTCGATCCTATTGTCATATTTGAGCAAATGTTTTCATTGTCAATTAATTGTGATAACGTGGTTTTGAGAGGTAATTTGTAAAGTGAATTTCTGGTGAATTTAACCCAGGAGGTTCAGATTTTGCTCTGTAATTGAATTTATAATTTCGAGTTATCAATCAAGACGATAAGTTTAGCAACCTGTGATAACTTACAATCGAGCTGTTCCGTGTACATGGAATTACTCTCTCTACGTAGAGCGAGTAACTAAACGTTCATGAAAAAATAAATAGTCTTTAAATGGCTCGTGCATTTTCTTTGCATCTGTATGCTGTATCTTGTTAATGTGGTTCAGTACGGGCCCACGATATTTAGGATCAAAACGATCGGTCTACTGTTTTGCCATCTGTTCTCTTTGAAACTGCAATGGCCGTCTACATAAAACACTTCAACCCCTGGCGGCTAACACTTGAGGAAAACGGATCACAGAGAACGTGGTATTTGAAGTAAGGAAGCCTCTACATAATGAATTTGTGCAGATGTTGCAGTAATGGAGAAATATAACCTTCGAGCATGCAAAACTTTAGCGGACTGAAAACAATGACAGCCAAACAGACGGCAAAGGTCATGAGGAAAATTGAGATAGATGTGGACGCGCGAGCAATTAGTGTTGCTGAATATATTTTAGCATTTGCAGTAAGGTTTGATTATTATTGTAGTCGGCTCGGCACTTTCTCTTACGAAAATCTTTTACTGCTTCCGGACTTAGTGGTCTTCGTTCACTGTCTTTCACTTCGTCATGTTAACTACTTTCCTATTGGTTTTTGTGGTACTGCTTCTGTTCTTCTTTTGTCATTCTTGATATTTCTTTTGGAATCTCTAAAACGTCAAGGAGGGTGTCCATTGCTGTTCTAGTTTTTTCTGCGTATCCAGTTCTTGTGGCCATTTCAAAAATGGCCGCTTCATGTTCGTATTTAAGGTCCTGTCTGTGATGTTGGCTGACAGATATCTTGAGTTTCATATTTATTTCCATTCGTGGGAATGCTGCTCCTGCTTTGCTTATACATTTGCATCGGATCTTTCTTGCAGACTAATGGTGCTGCTACCCAGGTACGTGGACGTTTCCAACTCTTCCACAGTTTCTCCACTAAGTGTTATAAGGTTGGTATTCTCCGTGTATTAAAGGATCTTGGATTTTCCCTTGTGTATTTTGTAGCATAATGCTGCAGAGACTGCTTCTGCACTAGTTGTCTTCATATGCATTCGTTCGTGTGTGTGAACAGGAGGGCCAAATTATCTGTGAAGTTAAAATGGTCCAGTTGCATCCAACATATTCTTTGTATTTCGTGCTTCCCTCAGATGTTGAGGTCTTCATAGTTTCGTCAATCACCTGGAGAACTGGGAAGGAAGAGACAAGGCAGCTTCGTCTAACTCCAGTCCTCACCCAGAATACTTCTGTCAGCCTTGCATGTCTTCGCATCGTAGTCCTTCGCATGAATTCTGGATTATATTGACGATTTTCTCAGGGACACCATATTGTCGAAAAACGTTCCACAGTATTCTCCTATCCGTGCTGCTAAACACTTTCTCACAGTCAAGGAGGTCGATGTATAGTGACAAATTCAAAAGTAATCCTTAGTGTCGCGATTGTTCTGTCCACGACTTATCCTTACGG